CTCCCGAGCCAAAAGCTACCGAACCAAAGGCTCCTAGACCAAGAGCTCCCCCTAAGTGTAGTAAGTGCAAAAGCTCTGGGCACAACAAAAAGAAGTGCCCACTTGTACCTCAACTGCACGAACCGACTTTGGCAGAACTTCAGCTGGATCCAGATGCAGATACACCAATCAATATTACCAATGTTGATCGATCAGCCACTACATTACGTCCTGAACTTGACGATGGCAATTCAAACTTAAATTCTGATAACCGACACAGATTCGATTGGGAAGAAGACAAAGACAATTCAAACTCAAATTCTGATGCCCAACACAGATCCGATTGGGAAGAAGACAATGACAATATACCAAAATGTCCTTTCTGCAATGACCCACTCCCATCACAGCCCTCACCAAAACTTCACAGTCTGATGCAAATGCTTCTCGATCGACCAAAGGCAAAGAAGACCCCTCGACCCGGGAATCCTGATGCAGTCTCTCTTCCGGTAAGTCTTATTTCGGTCAACCAACACTCTCACATCTCTTTGTTCTTAATGTAACACCAATCATTCTAATCAACACATGTTTAAATTTCATCAGATGTCTGAGACCATCGCATTCTGTGTGATGCATGGTGCTGAGGAAAAATACATCCCCATAGGGAAACAGAATGGTTGGCCTTCATCGATCAATTTTGACAAACTCTCTAGGTATGTAAATAACTCGATTTGTGAGTATCACTGTCATATGGCTTCCATATGGAATTTCTAACATCCATTACCTATTTGTGATACCAGTCGTGTAGAGAAATTTGTCCCTGATCTGCAACATATCATCAATCACCAAATTGACAGCACCTTTTTGAATGGTGCACTGCAAATCTTGCAGAGTCACGGAGCACGTTGAATGGATAGTGTATGGCACGGAGATCTCACATTTGAACTTGAACAACCAGGGTAGTGAGTATTGTTCTTCAAGTCAGTTTCTCATTTGATTCCAAGCTGATGTTGGACTGTAGCTATGGGGGCAGAGGCTTAGAAATCATTTATCAAACACTTCATTCGCAATTCCTGCGCCCCCAAGCTCCGAATCGACTCCTACACGCAAAAGCAAAGCCTCTCAGTCCTGAAACCTGGGTCCGGACAGTTTTGATTCCCGAAGTTTCTTTGAGACTGATCGCGGACGATCTAAAGATATCGATCTCGGATCCTAAAGTTAAAGATACACTTGAAAGCTCTCGAGCATATGGGATGGCTATATTTCCAGCCGAGGATGATCACTTTTGAAATTACAAACATCGAAGGACATCAAAGGACTTATGATGAACTTTTGTACTCAACAAGTCCTTGCACTCGCTGAAAGGAACCTATTGAGGTCTTATACAATCTGATCCTAACATATACATATTGTACATAGAATGAATCGAAATACATAAGGGCCGTTCTCCGCTTTTGCTGGTCAACTTGAACTTCAAAGATAACACCAATACCTATTGATACCCATTGATTATCATATGTGTCATACTCTATGTTGACTGTGCTTGAATGTGTCTACCAACTGTGAGTCGATGTAACAAAGCTTGACAAGGGTCTGACAGCAAATTGCTTGATTTTTGGGGCAAACCTCGGTCAAGCTGTTGGAGATCGTAAATCAACGATTAAAGTGTTTGAAAACGAGCCAAAGACCGTACGATCTATTACGCTGAGATCTAGACTCGGCGTCACACACTTTAGGCAAGTCGGCGTCAGCGATCATAATCATGACACCCACTTTTACACACTTCATGATGGCAGAAGCCGGCTTCAGAAAGCATCAGAAAGCTCCTGAAGCCTTTACAGGAAGTTCTGGACTGTATAACTTCCAGAGGAATCCGACCTAAGGAAAACCGGTGTCATATGTGATTTCAGGTCGGCGTGGTTTATCAATCACCAAATTATAATATAAGTACAAATATTATTGTGCTACATATTGAGGATTCAAGTAATCCAAGCTGATTTGGGTGCAGAGCACCTGGCTGACAGGCTGTGCTCACACACATCAGCTCACTGGCTGATAGGCTGGAATATCACACTAGCTTAATGAATGTGAGCTTGCTGCTCATGTGTAGAACCGGTGACAAGCTTGGGAGAGGGCCACGTAGCTGCAAGTCAAACTACAGTTGTTCAAGGCTAGTCTTGACCAAAGCCGCTCTGTAAAAGCAAAATTTGATTACACAACATAACTTGTTTCATCCCTACTGATGAATGAGATGTGATAAGTCGTTTTGGGGGATTGAGAGGTTCTTTAATCTTATCATGACTGGCTGAGCCAACTGGGTTGGCGGTTTTTGTTGTTGTTTTTTGACCTCACATTTTGGACCTGAGGTACCTGAGCTCCTGAGCACACTTAGTCAAGTACTTTATTAAGTACCTATGGGCTTATGGCGACTGAATTAGGCCCCTGTATAAGTATGTTAGCACTCAACCAGAATCAACCATTGCATTTATTTTTCTGAATTGATATTGATATTCAAACAAATGATGAGTTTCCAATAATCTTCAAGTAAGGACATGATCAGTAAGGGCGCGTTTACTTAGTGTTGATTTCTAGAAATCACATTATGGACACCTCTTTTCTACATGTAGAAAAGTGGTCTTTTGAAAAATCTGAAATTTCACGCTTTGTGAGAATTTGTGAAAAAAGACACAATAAAGTGTTTACTTATACAAGCATTAAGGACATGGTCATACAAAATTTATCCTACAATCACTCATACAACCACTTTTCTATGATCCTGCCTTGGAAACGACTTGTTGTTAATGAATCCGATGCACAATAGGACTTTGGTAAGTTTGCTATGATCCCATCCACCACCTCAAACTTGTTCCTTTCAATCTCTCACTCTTTTTCACTTCTTGAACTACTCAGATTCAAACTCATTCCATTTTGTAAGTCAATAACTAAGATAATTATGCACAAATCACATGATTCACAAATAAAGAATACAATAATTCTGTGAAGCAACTGAAGTTGGAAAACAATTGATTGGTAAATAACACATACTATAATCAAGTTGAAGGAGGGATAGACAAAGATG